TCTGAACCTCTGTTCTATCAGATAGACCTTTGCTCCTTCTGCTTCAAAAGTTTAAAACACTCCAGGAATTTTGGACATCATACTAGGTCTGTATCTCAGCCAATAGGCTGATCCCTTCCTCTCCTATTAGCGCAGTTTAGCTTTGCTGCACTTAAATAATAACCGTAGTCAGCTGAAACACACTTGCAAAAACGTATTTCATGTATAATGTATTTTGGCAAATGGCAGTGAGCCCTTCATTTTCCAGTCTCAGCTTCCCATCGGTAACTGCCATCCCCACTTTCTCCAAATACTCTCTCTCCTTTCCAAACAGGGGTTTCAGTACTGCAAAACCACAGCTTTTCCCTGATTTAGTGACCCCCTTGCTACGCAAAGCTGTAATTTCTTGCTAGTCTAATTGATCCTTTTGTTTATATTACAGATGTGTAAGTTTATATATCTTCTAATCTCTCCTTTGTATTATAGCGACATAAATCTGTGGTTAATACTTCATTAATTTCCTAAAGGAGGCAACTTCCAGCATGGGTATGGGAAAGCTGATGACCCCACTGCTGATGAGGGCTGTTTGAGCAATTGGTTTCATTGCTTTTGCAATAAAGCTAAACAAAGCAAAATATATGCATCTAAAACCCTGTATAATGCTTGAGTAGAACAAAAAATACTCCTTATTCCTTGGTTTTCCCCACTGAAACAAAAGAAAGGATGGATTGCTTTGTTCTATGTGATACAAAAATAAATGCTTTCTCTTGAACACGTGTATACACAGGAAAAAAAAAAAGTGAACGGCTAAATTTATAAAACTGAGTGGGGAGAGGGAAGCAGAATCCTATTTTGTGCAAGAGCAAAGACTAGTGCAAAAGAGGAAAGAGAATGTGGATTAATTCCCTGACAGGGAAGATTTAAACTGACATTTCATATCTCCTGCATAATGCCCTGACTACCAGACTATTTGGTGTTTTAGGTTGCCACGTTCCTCATGCCTCCTACTGATCTTATTCCACCTGCTTTAAATATTTACTCATACCAGGACTGAGGCACTGTGTTCTCATTTTCCAGGTAAAAGTCCTAACAACCGTGCTGGTGAGCCTTTCTCATCAAAGCTACCCCAGCAGCTAACAAACTACTCTATATTAACTGAAATCTCATCATCACGTAGTCTGAAGGACTCTCAGCCATTTAACTTTCCAGTGCGCAGGTGGCTGGTAAATATTTTTAAGAGGCTCATCCACACTCTGGGAGATACTGTACTCACACTGGTTCCCCTGTCCTATCAATCTGCTACCTAGAAGAGCGCAAAAATCAAAACCTCCAACAATCTCTCTCCAACGAACCCTCTTCTGAAAACAAAATAAAACAAGTATGTGAAAGCTAATCAGTGAATTCAGCTCAGGCTGTCTTGTCATCTGGGGAACGGCCGGAGCTGTATTTTTCTTCCTCCTTACCAACTGCAAAGGTTGGTTCCTTCAGCTCTCCCACTTTCCATACTACAGAACCAAAAAGCCAGTCCCGAAGCACTTTCTGCAGGTCAGCCTCCAAGGAGGTAAACACATGTTTTACCTGCAAGATGCCTGTCCTGAGTTATTCTACAGTTACTCTGTGGCATGCAGTTACAGTCCTTCTCAGATAGCTCCCGATTGGAGGTAAGGGGCATAGCACAGTCCTCTGCAAGAGGAGCTGCTCTGGTGCTGCTGAGCCTCTACTGACATCAGCTCTGGCTCAAAGAGCCTCCATGCCCTGCCATGAAAAGCAGATTTTACAGCAGTTTTCGTCCTGCCTTTTGTCCTAATAAGGGAATAAAGCCCTTCTGGTAATCACATCAGTTGGAGCCCCTGCATGGAAATGTATGGGTGTGCACTAAAGACGGTGCCCCTCGTTTAGCAAATTATTCTGCATAGCTTTTCTCTGTGCTGATTCACCAGCAACAAAGGGAAAGCAGGTATGGATGCACATGCAGGCTGCCTGAAACCTTCTTTTTATGGGGATGTAAGGCAACTTCATATATCATGCAGCTGGGCCTTTTCCATATTAGTAACACAGGACTCCCAGTACTTACACTGCTTAGGAAAACAGAAATGGGCCTAAATCCTAGATCCAGATGTGAATTTGGCAAATAGCTCCTTTACAATGGGGCAACGAAATATCTCCGATCCGAACACTTTTACATTTTGAGATGTTTGAAATCAACTTTGCACCCATAGCAATTCATTAATCATATCTTTTAAATGTTTAAACTTCAGCTAGAACGTAAAATCAACATTTAAGGTTCTTGACAATTTCTCTTGAAATTGGCATCGCATAAAGTTCCCTTCATGAAATAGAGTGTCTCAAAGACATTTTGTTGAGTAATTGCTGCCCTCCTCTTTTTCTGCCCTCCCCTCTTTATTTTACTTTAAAACAGATAAAGAAAGGTAGGGCAAAAAGTGAGTATTACTGACACAAATGAATTCTGCTGAATTTCATTTCCATTATATTTTTACATAACTAGGAGCTCTTTTGGCAGCCTCCCACAAGAGACATAATAAATTACTTTTGTACCAGTAGAGGAATTCATTTTCTCTGTTTCATTTAGCAACAACATGGCAGTGAATTTCAGACAAGAGTTTCTAAAACGTCATCATATTTTTTCTGTCTAATGTTGATTTGGCATTTTTCCCTTTCTCGCAGAAGGGCCAGAGAAGAAAAAACAGAGTAAGGCAACAACAAGTTGCCATGTCAGTTGTGCAATGTGCAGGTAATGGACAAGTACACTCTCTGAACAGGTGCCCAGGTTACAGCAACATCACCCTTCTTGTTAAGGCAACCAAAGATTAGAGAGCCTGGATTCATCCATCCGAAGGCTTTTACCTCCTGACATGGCCTGAAGAAGCTTATTCTCCTCATGCAAAGCCACTGCCTGTGCTAAGAATAGACACGAACCTTCAGGCTATCAATATGTAAGCTCAAACATGGGGGAAAAAAAAAAAGAAAATAGAAGTCCAGTAAAGTATCTGTGCTTCACACACATGATCAGATTAAGGGCTTCCATGTTCTAAAATGCTGCATTCCCTTCCCTCTTGACAGCTTCAATGGGCCTTAAGAGCACCCAGCTCACGGCGTTTTGGCTCACATTCTTCTCCATCCCACTGAATTGCTGATGCTTGAGATACAGCCCACCTCCATTGCTTCCTTTTACAGAATTTTTGCACACAAGAGATATTTTGCAAGTGCTTTGTACATGCATGCCACATGAACATACACTCCAGGAGAATCATAGCAGAGAAAAAGCTATGACTGTCCTCTCTTAGCCTGATCTGCAGAAAAAACAGGGATGTGCTGGCCCTGGGGAAGCCTTCATGTAAATAAGAGCAGCCTCAGGGCTTCTGCAAGTCACTCATAGTTGCCAGCATCTCCCAGCTCATCTTTTGCCTTAGGAACACTCAGCTCTCTCTCCTCTTGCACGCACACAACTCCTCCTACTAAAATCGTATCACAAACTGTATCACTAAAATGATAAAAGAAATATCACTAATATCGGTGCTGACACACTGTCCTAGAAAAAGAAGACAGACGACAGCCAGCCAAGAAATTGGCAGCATGGGGAAAAGGGGGTCTCTCCATAAGGTCTCTCCTTCCAGAGGAGCACACAGCTGCACCACCTACAGCCCACACCTCTGAGACTCCGGGTGCATTTTCCCGTTAGTTCTGCCCATTGTATAAATCACACAACATTCCTCAGATCAGTAAGCATCCAAAGGGAAAATCTGGCTGATTTTTTTTCCCTTTGGAAATATTAGGGGAGAAATTAAAAAATAGTATTCAATGCAGAGAGCACGAAACCCAGCACAGTGCACTTTTTGGTTACTGTTTATCCCTTGCTTTTTGTTTGTTTGTTTGTTTGTTTTCTTTTTTTTCCCCAAGTGATCTGTTTATTTTATTGGACTGTCAGGGTTTTCTCATTGTCAAAGAGGATCCCTGTTAATAATATCCTTGCCTGACAGCATCAGAACCAAAAACCCAGTGCTTCTGAAACTTGGTGGCCCTGCCAGCCAACAAACAATTGCATCTGCTAAAATTGCTTTCTGTTGTTTCTTTCCCTCTGTACAATGAAACTTTGAATGTCAGCAATTGAACGACTAGATTTAATAGAAACTGGGATGTGGGAGTGCTGGGACATATTGAAAAATACTTATTATAAACAGTGTCTTCTTTTTATTAAAAAAGAGAGAAAGTCACATTAGGAAAGCTTTTGAAATAAATGATGTGGTAGATTGAAGGATATGAAGATAAAAAGGAGTGTGGATAAGGGTACATGTAGCCAAAAGGTTAGGAATTAATCTGTATTAAGGCGTGCAATTTTAACAGTAGTATTTGTTATCAAATGTGATAACTGAGCGAAGAAAGGCAGTCTGAGATGGTATGAGCATGTGACTCAAAACTACTAGAGCTCGTGGCTGTCAGAGGCTGAGCACCCAACCCTGGAGGAGCCCTCTGCTAGCAGCGGGCTGATGCACACACACTGCAATCAGCTGGCATTCTCTGCCTGCTTTCAGCTCGGTCTGAGTCCGAGTGTAGGAATAAAGCTGAGTTTAAACCAAATGGCATTATGCTTCCCTTCAAACAGCAGGACAAAATCTTATCAGAGAGCATTTCAGAAAGAAACGGCATGTGCATAAATGTTTCTTGAAAGGATCAATTGGGTACGGTTTGTTGGTTTTGCTTCAGAGAAAAACCTTTGAGAGGGAAATAAGCAAAACACTTCAATACAAAAGGGCTTGGGCTAAGCCATGCTTAACTTAATCATAAAAATTATATAGATCTTAATTAAGGGGTTTGTAAAGTACTTAAGCTTGTCGATCTGTTTACAGCTATATGTGATATCTTCCGAAAATCTTGTTCTAGTATCAGCTAACAAAAGTGGAAAGTTTATTTAGATTATTGTTCTGCTAGATAAGATAAAAGTTGTGATAACACCGCGCAGTGATCAGCCTGCTTAGCAGTATGGATGCTGCATCAGTACTCACCCCCGAGGCTGCCGGCTGTGTGCTTGGGGAGGCATTTTTGCTACAGTCATCTGAGTTAGTAGAAGACGTGGATGTTGGAGTCATAGGAACTGCAGTAGTACTGTTACCTGAAAGATCAGGGTCCGGCATTAAAAACAAGAATTTTCCAGCCAAGGAAAAAAATTCTAGCATCTCAACTATCTTATTTTTTCATATTTACCAGAGCATGCCTTTGACTTATTTATGTTCTTAGGTTTTCGTTTCCTTGTCTGAATTCCTTCTTTCTTCATAGCAAGCGGTCGGGGAACCTGAAAAGAAAAAATTTCCACACCAATCTTAGAGCTGTGCTTGTGCTCTAGTGACCAAAAATCAAAACTAGACTATAAGAGCAAAGAGAGATGGTCGAAACGCCTGTTCAAGTCATTTTTCCAGCCACAACGTAGCAATTCCAAAAAACATTGTATTTTATTTGGGCAAAACCATGAGTTGTTTCAACGGGAGTTTTATCAGAATAAAGAAGAGGGAAAAGGTTTTTGTTGATGTAGGCTAAACAACTTTTCCAACACCTCAGTCGGTCCACAGATTAACAGCACCAGTTTAAAGGGAAAAAAAAAGCACTGTTTGGCCATAGGTCATACGACATTAAACTGGACTGGAAGTATCTGATCACTAATTCCTTTTCCCAGTCAGTTGGGGATTATCTTCAGAAGTTTGTTCTGGAAAGCAAGAATGCAAATGAGGGTAAAAATTCTCCTCTCCTTGCAGACCAGCTATGCGAACCAGATCAACACCAGTAAGCTTTTTAGGACAGAAGCTTCACACCATAATCAGCGTGGCATTTGTTCTTATAAGCAGTTCTGCATGTGATACAGGTTTAGAGTATCCAAACTTATGTCTGTAGAGAAAATGATTCAAAAGTCAGCTTTGTGTTTTCTGTATAATCATAACGATTATACAGAAAACATTGGCTTAAGATGTATTTTCATTTCATGATAACATGAGTTTGGAAAAATACAGTTTAGCCATGTGCTTATTATCATTACAATGTTTAAACCAGTGATAAAATTTACGTTTTTTTCAAAGGCTGGACCACGTACCAACCACTCCTAACGCCCACTTTCTTCAAACACATGTGCTCAGCTGTAACATAACCCAGTGGGTCATCATGGTCTCCAAGTCTCAAACCATATTCCATCACATTCAAGTTATTTTCTTCCTGGATTATTGCCTACCAAGGCTGAAATCGCATATAAAGTTTTGCTGGCATACCTATGGTTGTAATTACATTTAAAATTTTGCCCGTCCAGACTATGAAAAGCTATCATATTAAATGTCCAGTGTTTTTTTCCCTGTCTGAAATCATGGTGACAAAAAGACCTCTGCCAATTATCCCGAGGCAGTTTCTTCATACATATCTATACAAATTTGCAATGACAAATCCCTGTCATTGCACTGTCAACACCATAACTTGCTAAAAGGAGAGAGCCAATTTCCAGTGCCATTTTCAGTCATTTTGTCAATTTCATACACCTCTATCCTTTTTTTTCCTAACTCCATAGTCCAAGACTATTAGAGTCAACAGAAACTTTGCCCTGGCTTTGGGAAGCCAGATGCCACCCACATGCTGTGCCCAAAGCCACGGCAGGGACAAACCTTCTGCCAGCACTCACCAGAGCCTGGGGGACAGGGCAGCCAGGCGTGAGGGGACACGGTGCACAGACCAGAGGGAACATGGCACCTAGGCCAAAAGGGACTTTCTTACCCCGTGAAGCTTCATGTAGAGGCCGCATGCATTGCAGACTGGCTCGCCCTCGGCGTTCCGGCGCCAGAGGGTGGTGGTGGTGGTGTGGCAGTTGGCACAGGACAGGCCGAGTCGCCGCGACGAGGGCTGTGGGCATGGGGAGGCAAACACACGTAAACAGGTGGGCAGGAGCAGATGGTCGGTGTTTTTGCAGTTGACATTCAAAAAGCAGGGATGGCGGGGGGCTTTTTTATAACATTTCTAAAGGATATCCTAGAAGTGACGCAAGATTATCCTCATTTTCAAGGCTGGAAAGATGATTGGAAGGGCTGCAAGTCACACTTGGGAATCACTGACTTGGGCCTCCACTGAGACCAGCGGGTTTTTCTCCAGCAGGACAGACCACAACACTGCCGCACCAAACACCTTCTTGCAGTCCCCAGCAATGCCATGATGCCTCCCAGGACGCAAGCAGCAAGCCTGGGCTTAGACAAGGGAGAGGGGCTGAGGACAGCTTTTAGAGAGTGCAACACATCAAAAAGCATCACTTTGTGGAAAGGCTTCCTTATCATGCTGTGCTATGTTATCGTGTGAAAAACAACGTGTCTCAGGAACAAGTTTTACGGACGAAGTTTTCCCTCGGCCATCAGAAAAGCTGGTATGGGACAACAAGGTCCACACTGCAAATAAGCCATTTATGGCACTCTTCCGTGGAGTTTGGAGCCAAGATGAGGCAACGCGGTATCAGAAATAACCGCATAACCTGGCGCTTTATGGCTGCAGGCTGTATATCATAAGTGAAGGCAGTCCTCATAAACATGTGAAATGAAGGTGAATGGGTTATAAAAGTTCCTGTAACAAGTGATCTCTTTTACATTCATCACAAGCAAAGAATTCCAGCTACATCGTAAATCTATTATTTTTCAAAGTATCACATTGTCAAAAAAAAATATATAAAAAAAGCTGCGACTGGCTCTGTCTGGCAGCCAAACGAGTTTACGTGGAAAAGTCAGCTTTAGAGAATTGCATTAATCTTATTTTGACTATAAAGCGCCCATAACTGAAATGACTGAGTTGAGGGTACTATGCCCTTCCTCTTGAATCATTTACTGCTGGGTTGTTAGGCACAGCTCGGTCACCTTTGATACCACAGAGCCGCCTGCCACTTGGGAAACACGCAGCGATGCTTTCAGCATGGAGAATATTCCAGAGTAATGACCGAGTTTCTTGAATTTGGGCTGTTTCAGTTTCTTTCACAGGAAATTTGTCATTCTAATCTACGGCTCAGAGCGAGCTCCAGATTTAATAGGATTTGTGCAACTTTGGAGCAGTAATTCATTATTAATTGCACAATAATAACAAATTTAAAAAAACAACCAAATATAAGACAGGCTGAAATATATACATATACTTTCTAATCTGAAAAATCCAATTCTCACAAAAGCAGAATTTGTAGTTTCAAATGCATATAAATACGCTGCCCACTGTGCTCCGCAATTCAGTACGAGTTTCACACGGAACAGGTCATAAAAAAAGTTGGTTGTAACACGTATGTTGTATTTTCTCTCTTCGCAAGCAAAATGCCATTTCACTGCTAAATCCTTCTGTCTTTCGTATGCAGTCTGGTGTAAATCTTCCTTAATTTTATTTCCGTAGCTTTGCTCATTCCTCTATCTAAACAAACGAGAGTTTTGGGGCACATTTTGAAGCTAAAATGGCTTTTCTGCCGCAGGAATTTTATCAGAAACTTCAGGGAAATCTAAACATGTTTAGCATTTTCAAAACATTTTCCCTTCTCACCTACATATTTCCAATGGCGTGAGCACGCAGCCGCCTCTGATTTATAGCTCTGGCCAGTGTGCTTGGTGCAGAGTGTTGCACAGAGCTATTTCAGAGTTATTTAGCCGAGGTGTCGGGCTGAAATCAGGCTGCTGCCTGACTCTGATTTGGTCTCCTCAGCCCTCTCCCCCCTCGGAAACGGTGAGAAGGGTCGGGAAGAGGTACGAGCCCATCAAAATCTGCACCCAGCCACGGTGCCGCGGGCAGCTGAGCTTCCCACTAAGGAGATAAAACTTCCTGCAATGTGATTTGGTGCACGGCCGGCTACAAATACACAGGCACCAAGCGGCAAACAGTTCCTGCCCCAGTGCTACATTAGCTTTGTCCCTTTAATCAGAGGTGAGGTCGCTTTGGGAACGGGGACTGTCCGCTCCCTGAGTGTCCACTTTTTGCCTTCCCCCATTAAAGGCATTAAATTCAGACCGTTGTGAAATAAAGGGTGAGTTTAAACGCTACGAAAATAGGGACGGACTGGAGCAGCTGGTTTGATTGAAAGGCTCTTGAAGGGTCGATCGCTTTGCTACGCCGTCTCCGTACACAAGGGTCCAACCATCAGCTCGGATTATAGTGGTGTGATTTATTGTGGCTCGCTCCTAACAGCCATTACCAAGGCACGGATTCTTTTTCCCCGCTGACCTCCACCCAGATTTGCTAAACATAATGTGCAGTTCCCACTTGGTAAATTCTCTCCTCACCTATTCAGTGCCAGCCGGAGTCATAAACAGGGGCTCTGGTTTGTACTATTTATTTCCCTCCCCCTGGTTTTAGGAAGATATTTTTAGAAAAATTACCACTCATTTCTTAGGAGTCAAACAAAACAAAGGCTATTATTGTCGTTTAAACAATTGCTTTTCTTTGAATTATATACAAAACTTGCTTACGTTCCCAAGGATCGAGCTCTCGGCAAACAAAGCAGGTCTGCAGAAATTCCTAGCGCTCTCAACAAACACTTTCCAAACCCAATTACTTTTTTTTTTTTTTTCTCCCAACCCTTTTGGAAACTTTGGAAGTAAACCTCCTCACACCGATGAGCTCCACTAATGCAAAATAAACGCCAAACACCTGTGTATGGGCAGAGAGTCCCAAAGAGAGGCCCTTTGCCTGCGCTACCAGCGCGCTGGCCTCCGAACCGGGACACCTCAGTGGCGTCCCTACGTCTCTCACACCCAACACTCGGCCCGCAGTCCACACTCACCACTCTCTTCTGGGGCTTGATGAGGGGCCGGCTGAGGCCGTTCATTTTGGTGTAGAGCCCGCAGGCGTTGCACAGGTAATTCCCGGTGCCATCCCTCCTCCAAAGCGGGGTCTGGATGGAGCCGCAGTTGACGCACTCGCGGCTTTCAGAGAGGTCTTCCAGCAGCTCTGCGGACAGGAGCAGGGCACTGCTATGAGGCACGGCCGAGCCATTCCCCCGCAGGCCCCGAGATTAAATTTTTTAAAATTCCCCCCCACACCACCTAATTTGTTGTTGTTTTCCTTTAATCCCACCAGGCTCCTAGCGCAGCCGCTGCTGCCAAAACGCCCTGCCGAAATGCCTTGCGGCAATGCCCTGCCGTAATGCAAGCCCCCGGATCGGAGCCCACCTGCGGGCCCGGGGCGGCTTTGCTCGGTGTCCCCGCAGGGCACGGAGCCGTGCAGCTTTCTGGTGGAAAGCGCCCAGCGAACGGGTACGGCTTCGACCTGAGGGAGCCCGGTCTCCCAGCTACAAAGGGGAACGAACGCTTAGCTTATTTGGTTCAATTCGTCCTCGGCGGGAGAAAGAGGGGGAAACGGAAAAATCGGCAGCGTTGGGCCACAATGTTCCAAAGGCTGTGGAGCGCTGGGAGAGCGCTGAGCACGGCATGGAGCAAAGGAAACGCGAGTGTAAAAGAGAACACCTTCCCCCTGCGAATCTTCGTGCTTTATCTATTTTGTGGGGATAAAAAAAAAAAAAAAAAAAGAAACGAAAAAAAAAAAAAACCCACTCCAAAACGAAACTGCACTAAATACAAACGTTGCCTATACTGCTCCGCGCTGAGCGTGAAAACGCGGAGCGCTGCGACTGCCCCGCGGCACTGCTCGGGCAGGGAACGGCCCTTCGTTGTGCGCGGCTAAGGGGGATCGCAGAGCTGCGGAGCGCAGCGTCCGCACTGATCCATCCCCACACCAAACCCCAGGCCGATGTTCCACGGGCGCTGGAATCATTGTTTGATTTGTCTCTCTTCCGTAGTTCCCTTCGTGCCGACCGAAAGGAATTGTGCTCTGATCGCACTGCCCGGCCTTGTTTTTTTCTGTTCTTTTTTTTTTTTTTAAATATATATATATTGTTTCTCTTAACTAGTGAGAAAAATATTTCTCTCCGTGGAAAGCAAAAATAAAGCTTTAATTTGAAATTACTTTTTGGTAGCCCTACGAATAACGTTAAGTTAAGCGGCATCAGATCGCCTCGTGTTTTGTTAGAACCAGACCAAACGAAAGCGATCCCTGCGGGCTGCTGTGGGCTGCCCGTGCCACTGCCGTGCCCGACACAGCGCACTCCGGAGCCCTCCCACCGACGGGCAGCCCCGGCCCGCGCTCCGCCGCCCCGACAAGGGCTCTGTGGCGGGAGAAAGCCCGGAGCGGGGCAGAGCCGAAGCCCACCGGGCTCCATCGGCACTGCCCCTTCTCTCCTTCCCATGTCCCGTCTCACCTCCTCCAGCCCGATAAAGTCTTTACGCGTTTTTATTTGCTGTTATTTTCCCCTTAGCTTTACGCTGCAGTTTAGGGAAATCGTGTACAAAGCGTTTGTTAAAACTTCGGCTTTGCTCTGCTCCGTTCCCCCACCGCTTCCGCCTCACCGCGACCCCCGCGAGCAGACGCCGAGCGGAGCCTTCGTACGTCCGACAGCCGCCCGGTGCCACCGGGAGACGGCGGGGACGGCTCGGGGGCCGGCAGCGGCACGGCGGGACGGAGCGGGCAGAGGGGGTGGGCCTGGGGCTGCCCGGGAGAGGGAGAGTGCGGGTGTGCGCGCACGTCTATGCGTACATCTATCCCCCTACACAGGTATATATCAGTATATATACCCGTATATATAAGTATGCAGAGGCGTGCATATAAGCATATATATACATATATACACATCTATACTATATATATACATACGTACACTCGCACAGTCCCATCTCTCCCTACACACACTCACTCCTACCCCTACAGACACCCCCTAAAGCTGCACAAACGGCAGCGATCGTCACACCGCTGCGATTCCAATGGAGATCCCCCCCCCCCCCCCCCCCGCATCCCTCCACACAGCAGCACTGTGACACCTCCGGAGCGATCGGGACATCCCCGCACGGCAGCAGCGCGGGTACCCGTTCTCATCGACGGAGTGAGGCTGAGTCTCGCTTTCTTTAAAACATATATAGATATTGAGTGTTTGGGTTGTTCGTTGTTTTTGTTTTTAAACGAAGTAACGAAAAGCTTTGCGGATGAAATTATTAAGTAGTCCAACCGATAAGTAATTCAGCAATTAAGCGATTCGATCATTAATTTGATAATCCTGTAGTTAAGAACGGGCTCGCACTCGGGGACGGCAGAAGACCCCGCATCCCCCTGCCCCCTCCTATCCCGGCACCGTTCGCTTCGCGACCGCCCCGAACGAAGCGCCGTTCCCGGCCGCTCCCCCCAGACCCCACGCGGCCGCCGGCGGCCCCTACCTGCGCTGGGAGCCCGCACGGGGATAGGCGCGGCGCGGCCCTGCAGGCAGTGCAGCACGGAGTTCTCGAAGGGCGCAGCGGGCCAGGCAGGGCCGAGCTGCGGCCCCACGTAGGAGGCGTAGGGCGCCGGGTAGGAGCCGTTGAGCGGCCGCGGCAGCGCTCCGTACTGCTCCCTCGCCGCCAGGCCGCCGCCGTACTGCTCCCGCGAGGCGCCGTTGGCCACGGGCGGGCTGGGCGAGTAGGGGAAGCGGCCCGAGGGGTGCGCGCCGCCCGCGGCGCCGTACGAGGGGCTCTCGGCCGCCGGCTGCGACCAGACGTGGCCGGCCGGAGCGTGGCCGGGCTGGGCCGCGCCGCCGCCCTGCAGGTAGGGCAGCGTGGGCAGCACGGAGCCCACGCGGGTGGTGGGCACGTAGACGGGCGAGCTGGGCGCGGAGTGCATGAAGCCGCCCGGAGATCCGTCGTAGGGCGCGGGGCCCTGCGAGGCCGAAATGGCCAAGGTCTGGTACATCGCCGGCGGCCGCTCCGAGTCCGGAGGCAGCGAGAGCGACGGCGGGACGTCCTCCTCCCGGCGGGCGGGCCGGCCGGGAGCGGGGGCGGCCCCGAGGTGCCGCGGGGCGGGCCGGGAGCTGCCGCCGGTCTCCGGAGCGGGGGTCCCGGAGGTGGAGGAGGGCGAAGGAGGCGCCCGGGCGGCGAAGGGGTACGAGGACGCAGCGCACCGCTCCGCCGCGCGGCAGCCGCCTTCAGCCACGGCCATGCAGCTCCGCTCTGCGCGCTGGGTGGGGACGGGAGGGAGGAGGGAGAGGGGAGGGGGTCCGAGGCGGGGGGGGGGTGGGGGGGCGGGACGAGAGAGGGAGGGGAGGGGGGAGAGAAATGACAACAACAACGTTAGCGCGGGGCGGCCGTAACGGGACCCGCCGGTTCCCGTCCGCACCTCCGCGACCCACAGCTGCCGGGGGTGCAGGGGGACGGGGGTGCGGCAGAGCTCCTTCCTCCGTCACCGCCGTCCTTACGATTCCCGGTGCGATGAATGAGTCATTTGACAATGTTCCGTGGTGACAAGCACCGGGAAGGCGATCGCTGTGAGGTTACTTCGCGCATCGCCTCTATCGTCCGCTCCTTCCCAGCACGGGGAGGCGGGAAAGCGGCCGGGAGGGGCGCGGGGCCGGAGACAACGGCTGCAGGGACAGGGACTGGGCTGGCCCCGAGCCCTCCGCCGCATCTCTGAGAGGAGACGATGTCTCTGAGAGGGGGCACCCGTAGGGACCGACACGCAGATGGGCGCGGAGCGCGTCTCTCTCCCGCCCGAGATAAGCGGCAGATAAGGGCCGGCAGCTAGATAAAGCTGCGGCCCCGCCGTCGGATGTTTGCCCACAAACCTCCCTCGGGCTCCCCTGGCGGAAAGCGAACGGAAAGGAGCGAGAAGAACGGGGGCCCAAACCTGCTGCCGGCTCCGGGCCGGGAGGGATCCAGCGCCGAGGGGCAGCGGCGGCGGCGGGCGGCGTATAAATGGGAGAGAGGAGGCGCCTCTCGCCGCCGGGCCGGGAAAGTGCAGGCGGAGCGGCCCTGATTGGGCTCCGGGCGCTGAGCAAACAGCGGCTCCGCGGGAGCTGCGGGCGGGCGGCCGGGGGGGCACCGCAGCGCTCGGGGCCGGGCAGAGGAGGAGGGGGGCGGGGGGGCCGCGCTCGGCGGTGTCGCTGCCGTTAACCCTTCGTTCTGCTCCTTAGCACCAGAGCGCTGCGAGGGGGAACGCGCACTCCTCCCCGGCCGTCAGGTGAGGCCAAAGCCGTGTGCGAGCCTGCGGCGGTGCGCATTTCTCCGCTGCTTCTTTCTCGTTCTTCTTTTTTTCCTCCCTCTTTTTCTTTCCCCCACCACCACCCCACATCCCCCCACCCTCCGATCTTCTTATCTCAGCTGTGTACAAACTGATAGCGGGAAAGTGAGTGGAAAATTAAAATAACGGCGTTGCCCCGAGGTTATCGCCTGCGGATCTGTCGGCGTCGCTCCGCGAAGGGCGGGGATGGGGGGAGGGGGGAGAGAACCTAGGGGGGCAGAATGGGGGAACGAGTGGGAACGTTCCTCTGCCGGATTGTAGCTTTACTCGGGGCTCTGTGTGGATACTGATGTTGTCCTACCGGATTAGGAGTTTTGTTTTATTTGTATTTTATTTTATCTTTTAAAAAATATATTTAATTTCATTGCATTGCATTCCATCGTTATTTTTACCTTTCGATGTTTGTTAACTGGCCTAATAATACGTAGAAAATAACCTTTTCGAAGCAGCGATCCTCTGTCTCTTAACTCCCCGCGCTCACTCCCATAGGATTTTGCCACGTAAAACGCTTTTTCTTTCTCCCTCCTTGTTCGTTACCTGCGGGGGAGCCCCGAGCGCGATACAGACGCCGCCTTTCCCCCCACACGTACCGATCCCCGCCCCTAAACGCCGCCGGCTCCACGCTTCCTTTCGGGTCGGGCCGAGCCCCGCGGGGCGCCTACCCCGGCACGGCTGTGCCCCCCGCAGCCCTGCTGCCGCCAGCTCCTCGTGGTCTCAACTCCGTGCCCAAATCGCGTTCTTCTGACGTAACGGTGAGCCCCCAATCCCAAACCCCACAGCCGGGCGTTGCAATCCCTTAGGGCAACCCCACCGGGGGCTCTTCATCTAAGGGAGGGCCCGGCTGTGAGGGGTCACTTTGGGGACCGCGGCGCTCTCCCCGGGCGGTGTTTATGTAACGCCTTGTACTCGAGCGGCACGGGGAGCCAGTGGGGCCGGGCCGATAACGCAGCGCCCTGAGCCGACGTGCTGCCTGCGCTCCCCTCCGTTCCTTATCCCAGTGCCTTAAAATACGCTGTTATCGCCCCCCCCCCCCCCCGCTGGGACATCGGGTCCGGCGTTATCGCCCGGGCGGCGGCCGGGCGGGCAGCGAGCTCTCCGTGCGTCCCCTCGGGCCCGACGGTTGGCGGAACTCTCCCCCTAAAAGCCCGCGGCGGTTCGGAGGGATGTTGACCGTTCCCTTCTCCCTATCGATAAGGGCTCCCGGGGCCGAAAAGAACATTTCGTTTTCTGCTTCAAAAACCTGCGGGCAGCGCTGCGCTCCCGTTCCTGCGCTAAGAACCGCCGCGGGGGCCTTCCGAGGGACGAAACCACCGCACCCAGCCGGGCAATGCCCCCGGCACCGCCTTCCCCTGTACTTTTTACTTCGGCTTTTTTGTTGTTTCTATTGCCAGCATCGCCGGCAAAGGATGTCCCGTTGGAAACAACGTTCGTGAGGGACAGTCTGAAACAAAGATGCAATTTACATATATATACACACATATATATAATTACATATACACGCACGAAATATGTAAATATATATATACACTCATATATATACACTCACATATATGTGTGCATATATATAAAAATATATACACTGTGTATATATATGTATATCTGCAGTTTGTGTGTATATATATATATATATATATGTATGAGTATATATGCACACACGAAAATTGCAATCTGACTTCAGCAAAGCCCCTCCCTTGCTCCAAACCAACAGTTTTCCAATTGCCGTTCCGAGAGCAGTGGCACAATTTGGCGACTCCGCTGCTGCTCGTCTTGAAGCGTCGGGATCTCTGCCGGGGGCCGCCCGATCCATTCTGTAAATTGAAGTCTCATTCGATGGATGGGTAAAAAAAAAAAAAAAGAAAAGAAGAAGCGAATAGAAGCAAACAAAAGCCGCCACATTGCAGCGGGAGGATCTCAGGGCTGGCTGAGAACACATTATTGAAATAATCATAATTATAATTAAGAAATGTGGATGCAGCGGAACACCCTCACACACCCTCACCCTTCCCCCTACCCCGCTCCCCCTTATTTTGTACTCCTTTTCTCTTTCCTTCTCCCTTTATCCCACCCAAAAGTACCGCCGGCCCCGCGCAGATCCCCGCGCAATGTCCGTCGTTCCCGTCCTGTCCCCGCAGCAGCGTTTGTCCGTTCGCTGCGCAAAGGATCGGCGCTTTTCGATTGCCTTAGGAAAACGCCGGTCTGCGTGTTACCGACGCATCGAATTTATTGCTAATTGCGACGACATCGGGATCGGAAAGTCCCAAAAGACGCTTATGACCGGGAGGCTGCACTGTTGCCGTCCCATCGCCACCGTCGGTGTGTTGTAAAGGGTCACAGATGAGTGCATTTGGAGGTGCGAACTGCTCTGTTTCAGTCCGGATTGGATGGACGCGAGTGCAGCCGGGCGTGCTTAGGGGCTGGCTTTGCGCACTGTCATCAGTTCCTACGTTTATCACAGTCGATGATAAAACTCAGGGAAGAAATTAAAGCTTTATCACAGCGGTGCCTGAGTAGGTGGGAGTCATCCCGATTGCTGTGCTTTTCAGCATTCGTAACATTGGCAGGGTGTAAACGGTTCTCCAACTCGGGATGCCCAATGGCTCTATGGCTCTAAATCCACGTGCTGGAATCTGCACAGTGGCTATTTCCAAGGCGAAAAAAAAAAAAAAAAAAAAAAAAAAAAAAAAGACGTTTGCATCTTTGATGAGCCCTGAATATAACAGCATCAGCTGTGTACCGAAACACCTCCGGCAGTTTGTAAGCAGGACTGCATCTGGGCTGAGCTACTGCATCTACACTGAGCTGCTATTCAGAATGGCCAAACAGAAGCTGAGGCATGCACAACTGCAATATCTAGCTGTGAAATAAAGCAATTTAAAAATAAAATTACAAGAAAAAAGCTTTTACTTATTAGAGATTTGTGCGTGTTGCTTGCTTTTACTGCAGCCCAGCAGAAACGTGCACTTTCTGTGGGGCAGGGTGGCTGCCCCCTGTGTTTCACACTGGGCTCTGTCAGGTTACAACACCTCTGTGGTGCAGGTGCCGGCAGCTGCGTGGGCACTGAGGCTGTGCAGGAGGATGGGGATAGACAGAGGGAAGTGAGGTGGCAGCAGAGGTTCACACTGATGTTCTGTTCTTACATACCACGTAGGGCAATGCTCTCTCAAGTGGATTTATTTCAGCCCGAACCTGGACTCCAAGCTGTACCCTTCAGGTTCTCCCTACAGAAGCAGGCACTGCTCAACTCCCAAGACCCTGCCTCTCGCTGTGCTCCATTTTTGTATCTCCTCAGTTTGGCTTTTGATATCTTCAACAGAATTGTTGAATGACATTTCCTTCGGTGGGGCTTTTAGAAACAAATTAGCTTCATCTCTGCTTGCAAGAAATAGGAAAACATATTTTTCTGGTGCCTGCCTGGAACCGTGTGTGCCTGTGAGGTCCAGAGGGTGACACCTCTTCCACAGCATTTCCTCTAATACACCCATAGAAGAGAAACTAACGGCTGGGAGCTGTGCCTACAAGAAAGCTAAAAACATTCTGTACAGAAATACACTGACCGAAGCCAAGTGTTTGTGCTGTAGGAACACAGAGCTGGGTGCATCTGCAGAGGAGATCAGAAAGCAAGTAGTTCAACCTGAGCTGTAAAGGGAGCACAGAGGGATGGGGCAATGGGACCCTCACTCAGCAGAAGGAGGGAGAGCTGCCATGGGTCCATCCCACTCTTTGCACAAAGGCAGTATCCAGCAGCCCTACAGCCTCACGTTGCTAAAAACAGCAGTATATCTCCGCTGTGGTATTCAACGTTACGAGGGTTCCCAGTATCTGTCAGTGAATATCAAAAATAGGCTGTTTAATGGACTAAATTATTTTATCAGCCCTCTTTTTGGAAAGGAGAATCCTGCTGAGTAAAGAAGTCAGTAAAGCCTCACCACTGAGGACCTGGCTGCAATGGGAGTTTTGCTGGAGGAGGGCCCGTAAGAATTGACCTATTTAATTAAAATGTGACAGCATGCATTTTCCTTTACATCACTACACCCCGGTGTCAGACTTAGGGTCACAGATCTGTTACAGCTGAGCAAAGTGTCCCATCTTGGGTCCCCCTTCTTGGTTAAAAAGAAAGCAAAAAGATGCTCTTAGGGAAATGCGTTGATGATTAAAAATAAACATAATGGTCTAAATGAACACTACCGACAGTATTAAAAAGGATGGCTTAATTATGTTGGTTGATGTCAGTTAATCATTTTGGGGCCATCCAGATCTAAACCGGGGTAATTTATTGACTGCAATAAAAACTGGACGTGTGCCATATTATTCAAGAAAAACAATACACTGCAAAAACAATACGGAGAAGAGGTAATTTGTACAGAGTTCATGAGACAATTATATATCATCTAAGCACAAAACTGACTCACTATGCCCTTGGCTCCATTTATTATGAGAGGTTTGAAGGATGTGCTGAACATACTGAGAGTCCAGGAATTTTAACTGAAATCCTGCCTGTACACCCAAGTAGGCACCCAGGGACTGGTGTGACCCAGCACACAGACCAGGGAAGTGTTCCTGGATTCAGGACTCGGGACACTACTTCATTATTCGGTGCTGTTTTGCTGAGGGTTGCCTTGAAACTCCATCAGTAATATCATTGGAAAACTTTGATGAAGAATTCAAGACCAAAACAAACAAACAAACCAACCCAACCATTTGAAGAATTAATGACTGGTTTGCAACCCTGAATGGCAGTCTGAAAGCTGCCTAAATGTTACTTGCTTCTCTGGCACTTCTGCTGGTGCAGAGCTTCTCTGGAGCAATCCAAAGGGGACGCCTGTATGCGAACAGATGCATTCCTTGTTTAAACAGAGCAAATACGCTGCGGTGCCTGAACTATACTGTGGAAGTTGGGCTGTGCCCATCGAAGCCCAGAAATGACCTGGACCAAAACAAAAGCAAGTTGCTGAATTATTCTTCAAATTGCCAAGTCATATCTGCACTGCAACCTTCTGAAGTATTGTTGGATGCTTTTCCTTGAACTTTTCAAGCTATTTAAGGAATGTACAAATATTTTCTTTGTTGATTATGTAAAAAATTTCATTAAATGAAGCTTTTTTTCCCCCTCAATTTGCATGTCTTCTGATGTTTCTTACTCTGTTTATCGTGCATTTTGTGTTTGAATAGATTTCAGTGGGTGATGTCTAGCCACGCTACCACAAACTGTGGAGGAGGTTAATGGTTATAATGAATATTCATTTATAAAACGGGGAAAACCTCAGTGCCTCTTTATTTGTTTCTATTAATAATAATTCTGGCTGGCCTACAATACATTTTAAAACTAAGGCTATGAGAATTGAGGAGCAAATGTTGAGTCTGGGAGACCTGGGTCCTGCCTTTAACCTGTGTAGGGTCTGGATGTTGGAAGTCCTTCCACAGCACGTTGGCTTTGGTGCCCTGCTGTCAAGCAGCCCTCTCTGGCAGCCTGGAGGGTCCCTCCTGCCCAGAGGAGCCGTGCTGGTGCCAGCCCTGCAATCACTGCCTTCCCGTCATGTTAATGGAATTCCACGTGGGACCACACCGGGAGAAAGACCACTGAAGTGGTTACATTTAAAAATATCTCCCTCTCTCTTCCTCCTGCAGGAGGTTTATTTTTAACTTCCACTACTTCAGCGCTCTGGTTTGAGCTGTCCTGCACACAGCTGTTTTGGCACCGCTGAGGAGGTGACAACTGTGGGACAGAGGTGGCAACCGGCATCTGGGGCAGGGGCTGGATGGGACTACGGTGTGATAGTTCATTGTATGGGCTTAAACTTTGCCTTTTCTGGCTCTTCTTATAGCCATGTAGCATCTCTGCTGCAAATCCTTGGTACAGAAGTGCCGCAGCATTGTTGTTTTCTTCTCCCAGCTAAATTTACACAAGAGATTTCCCAGAACCATAGGATCATAGAATATCCCCAGTTGGAAGGGACCCATAAAAATCGTTGAGTCCAACTCCTGTTTGCAGTCACACAAGTTTTATTGTGGAAAAACACAGTGTAGGCAACGCCTCAGCCAAATCATGAAGCCTGTGTCCCTAAAGACATTCGTAGGTGGCTCATTTTCGGTCAGTTACAGGCTTAAATGGACAGGGTTAGTATCAGGCGTTTGGTTGGAGACGGTGCCTTGGCCATGGGGCAGCAGCCTCTCATGCTCCCCAGCTGCAATTCCCTGCAGGTCTCTGATCACAGCCCTACTTATTTTGCTTACATTCAAAGGATGAAGCTGCATATGTGATTCAGGCCTGAGTAAGAACTTCTCCCAGGTCAATTTGGCTGGGATTTAGGGTTCTTCCATCTTTTCTTAAAGCCATGAGTCACTTGCTGAAATCTCTCTGGCCTTCATTCTTATCTCTCCAGCTTCCTGCTGCTCCATGGATCTCAGGTGATGATGGTCCTTCGATTGCTTCTATCCTCTGCCTGTCATTTTTGTCTACCTGTGAATTTTGCAAAAAGCTACAGCCTAGTTCAAATTGTTGTATACAGCTTTGCAAGCACTTGGGTGAACTTGCATAGCCTTTAACATGCGGGAAGTCAGATAAAATCTAATCTTCTCCACATTAGGGTAAAACTGTGTCCCTGTCTGCTCTACAGAAGACAGCATATTGCATGGTATAACCCATCCTACAACTCTGATGATTAAATGCAATCATCCAACTTGTTCATGTGACAGCATCACAACATGACCTCATCCAGCACCCTGAGGTGCAAGAATTGCAGGAAGCTGTGATTCACATGGCTTTGGAGCTCTCCATTAGTGCCTCAGGTATCTCATCTTTCACGTGTAATCTGGATTTTGAGCCTACACCCTCAGTTCATCGGTTGACATGTCTCATTCCAGTCTTGATCTAGACTAGGGACACATGACCTCTGCTTTCACTAGATCAAGACGTCAATATCAATTTTTTTTTATAAGACCTTGCTTGCCTGCACATGCATGTTTCTTTTTTCTGATCCACATGCATTTTTCCAGTTCTCCCTCAGATTTATCTGTTATTGTAATGCAGATAAAAACAAGATAGTGTCATGATGGCTCTAATGGAGCTTTTCCATGGCACTCTACTTTTTCTTAGTGACATAAGAAAAATACCTAATGAAAAGTCAACTTTGAAAATGATCTGGCTCATTAAAGCATGATTTTGTGATGAAATTTTCCCAAGAGGTGGCTCAAGCTTGCTGGATTGGGCTGTATCATGAAGATCTGCAGTCCTTCCTGAGCATCACATGAGGAGGGAACACTCTTGCTGTTTTCAGTGACTTTACCTCCACTGATTATCCGTTATCTTTTCACCTGTGAATCTCATTCATGTATTTTCTGTCCTCATTCCCCAGAGGTGTAGCTTCAAAAAACTCACCCAGAGCATACAGAATCTTCCTCTCCAGCTTCCTCTGGAAATCACAATATGGTATGGAGGCAATTTTTAAAAAATGGTGTATTTTCCTAGCAGCCCTTATACAGCCACCAAATCGGCAGTTCTTTCAGAGGTGATTGGCATTCCTCTCAAAAAACTATTGCCAAAGTCAGCCAAAATTCAAAGGGAAAAGAGAGAAGGGCTAGCAGGTAACTGATCCATTTTGGAGCTGACATGTTGTGACACAAGGCATGCTTTTATATGAAAGGCAAAGAATCAGGTTCCTTCCCAGGTGAGGAGCAATACGATGGCTTAAATGCGGAAGGGTAAACGATGTGTGGCATGCAGATGGTCCTGCACGGAAAGCATACCCAAGAAAAGAACTGATCTCACACAGCTGTAGTGGAAGGTTAAAAGTTGCTGGATGAGTGATACTGAGTTGGTGTTCCTTTTCCTAGCTGTAACTTATTTATAAGAAGAGAAAGAAGGAAAACTCATGGAATAATGAAGACGAATGTGATAAACATACCTGAGCCTGTCTACTTGTTTTAGTGGCTAATTCCCCTGGAGGAATCCTGTGGGGCTTTAAGAAATTCTTAGTGATGAAGATTTATGAAGCCCTTTTAAAAACTTCATTAAAGGGTCAGAGAGATTTAAGTGGCCTTGCAAGCTCTGCACTGAGCCAAGAGATTCACTCAGCAGTAGTTCAGCCAAAACAGTGCAGGGAGAGATGCCGTGCGTGGACTGCCTTGTGCGCTGGGCTAGGGATGGTGCTGCCCATGTCATATAAATGGTCCATGCCCATATAGAGCTGCCACACCTGAGGTGGTCAAAGGAAGCTGTTTAGTAAAAAGAGTTATGAATAGGTGCAGGCTGGTGCACATTTGTAAGCGTGCCAAATCTGCATACGCGGTGTCACTGCTCCAGTGCCTCTCTTTGTTCAGCTTCCCTCCCTTTGGGTAAAACACTCTAAAGTGTTTTTGCAGTTTGGATGAAACATACATTCCTCCTTCTGACAACGTCTGCCTGAATCCCTTCAAACCATGGCACAGAATCTTACCTTCCATCCTGATGCCCCCCAAGCAGTTGTTTAGGAGTGCAATTATTTAGATATAAATAGCAGTGCTCATTAAGCTGGCAATCACTCCCAGCTATGAACATATAAATCAAGTTGGCTTGTTTGTGTTTTTGAGAGAAAGGAGGTGGCAGTGGTAGGTGGGAGGGGAAAGTTCCCGGATAATACTGTTATCACTCCTCGTCTCACCATGAGCAGGGAGCATTTCATCTGTGCCCTGCAGAGCTTTTCCCATCTTCATCCCATCACTGCTGATGTGGCACATCATATCAGGCATGCGAGGGTGGTATGTGGACTTACAAATAGGGTCATCTCCCAGAAAAACTGCACTCTTTTGTAGGTGTTCTGCAGGATGAGCTTTGGTAGGAAACAGACTTTGCTTACCTTGATGGAGAGAGAGATGGAGGCTGTTCTGGCAGAGCTGCAGGTTGAGCCGCCATTCCATTTGCTTGCTGAATATGTTTGGCCCCTAGAAAGGAGTCACAATGGAGCAGATGTTGTGAGCTATTACACAGCCCACTGTAAACCGAAGTAGCAAATCTCCTCTGGAAGATGTGTTTCAGCTTGACTGCCCTCCTGCAGCAGACACCTTCACTAGGAGGCTTGTAGTGCACTGTGTTGTATGTTAGATGAAGGATAACAAGTGTTACACAGCCTTGGTGCCTAAAGATGAAGGAAGGAGGGTAAAAAGAGAAAGATACTAGAGGATGGAGAAATGGAGAAACCTGAGAAAACTGCAGTAAGAGAACCATTGGACAAAGCCATCCAAGACCCACTTCCCCTCATGACCTGTCCCCAGCAGCACCAGCAGCATGCAGAGAAGCCTACTGAAAAAGGGCATATGAAGTGATACCTACACTATATTTGTTTAATCCTATCCCCAGCCTCTTAAATACATTCAACTCGAAATGTCTTCAACAAGTGTGAAAGGGAGCTCCTGAGTTTTAGCAGTGCATTATTGAAAGGAGAATCTCATATAGGAGTCAGTCCTCTCCATTTCAGGAGAGCTTGTTCATACTAGCTGTCATTAAGGAATGCACTTTTTACACTTGTGAAGCAAAGCACCACCTTTGCACTACCTGAAAGCGATAGAGGGAACAGTTTCAAACAGTTGCTCCACAATTGGGTTCCTTGGAGGACTGGCTCTAGCCCAGGGCATCCTCAAATAGGGGTCTAATCTATGATCAATGCTACAGGCAATGCCCAGCCAACCACCTGACACTACGTTAGCATCTGCTGGAAGCACAGTACTGGCTATAGAGTCTCCAAAGCAAGCCATAATAACACTTTCCAAACAGTTATTCCATAACAGTGCAGCCAAGAAAGACCAACTGTGTCCTGGGCTGCATCAAAAGAGGGGTGGCCAGCAGCAAGAGAAAGGGGATTGTCCTCCTTCTATTCTGCCCTTGTAAGACCCCTTCTGGATTACTGTGTTCAGGCCTGAGGCTTCCAACACAGGAAGGATGTGGAGCTATTGGATTGGGTCCAGATGGCTATTGGATTGGGTCAGAGGGCTGGAACACCTCTCCTAAGAAAAAAAAAAAAAAGGTTGAGGGAGTTGTTTAGCTTAGAGAAGAGAAGGCTCCATCAGATCAAATTGCAGCTTTCCAGTATTTGTAGGGAGCTTATGAACAGAAGAAGGACTGACTTTTTACAGTCTATTAGTGATAGGATAAGGGGGAATGGTTTGAAACTAAAAGAGAGGAGATCTAGATTAGATGTAAGGAGAAAATTCTTTACTCAGAGGGTGGTGAGGCGCTGGCACAGCCGCCCATGTAAGCTGTGGTGCCCCATCCCTGGAGGCAAGGCCGAGTTGGATGGAGCCCTGGGCAGCTGAGCTGCTGGGTGGCAGCCCTGCCCATGGCATGGGGTGGGACCATGTGAGATTTAAGGTCCCTTTCAACCCAAACCATTCTGTGGTTCTATGATAAACTGCTCACTATTAATAAACAACATAAGGAAGCTTAGCCACTGCTAACTACATCTTGCAGCCTTCCTTAGAGGAGCAAAGGGCCTTACCTAGTATCTTCATTTGAATACAGTCATTTCTGGAGCACATCTGATTGCTGCATTCCAGACGCTAGCAAGAAAGGATGGAGGCGTCCTCTTGTATGCAGGAACTGGCAGAGATTTGCAAGTGAACCAGTTACTGCTCACAGGAAGGAGAAAGCTCCCTCATGACAGTGAGTCATGAGATCCCAGCATTGACAAGAAGAACTATTAGAGAAGGGCCAATTGCATAATATTGCAAGGAGGAGCAATTAAGTGTCTTTACTGATACAAGCTTTGCATGAGCCCCATGCTACAAATAGCAACTTCATTCAGGCCATTCCAATGACACACCATAGATAGGAAGAGCCAAGATAACGATGTTTCGTGATAGCATTTTGGGAAACACAAGACCAGGAATTCTTCCAGAGTGGAAAACCCTTTTTCCTCACTGAAGACTTTGTTTTGATTTAAAGCCCTGTTGAGTAGGCACCATTGCTACATTTTTAAGATACCTTTTTTATCACTCCCTGGATTGTAGGGCACAGGGAGATTTTGTCAGTAGAACAAAGGCTCTTCTGAGGCATATGCAAGATGAGCGGAACAAATCCGCTCCATGCCTCTCATAAACACATGGTTAGCTGATTTTATCTAGCTGCCTCTACACCAACATCAATGCTCTCCTATTCCCAATTGGGACATAGTGACAGTGGTGTCCCAAAGAGTGGCACACCTGAGGCTCCTGGATGGCTGCTTGGCAGATGCTGCATGTCTCAACCAGGAGAGCAAAACTGTCCTGGGGCTGCTAGTTATTACAGGACTATGTCACTTCCACAGGCTACTGCTGACCTGGGTGGCTCAGGAGAACAGAATCCACAGGTTTTAAGAGCACCCAGAGGGCTAGCAACGGCTCCAGAAAATAAATTTGCAGTGAAGTGTATCTCAGTCCTTCATGTGGAGACATACTCACTGCCTGCCAAAGTAGGAAACATCTGAGGTGGCCCATTTTCCATTGTTTTCTTCTTTTTTTTTTTTCTTCCATTTTCCACATGCAAAACAATGCAGGTTGTCATAAAGTTATTTAGAGGCTTGCACTGGCCTCCAATTAGCACTCCTAAAAGCTTCTGCTTGCTTCAGGTTTCGGAGGGAAACAAAAGAGAAAATGGAGCAGAGCTTTTCCATGAGCCAGCAGGAGCCTGGCCAGCATTTGATTTTTTGTATCTGGTTTCCTCAAATAATTTAGTCACATAAAATTAGCAGCCTCAAAAAGGAAAGTGTAAGTGCGTTCAGCCTGTTTTACCCCCAGAATGTGTTATGTTTCCCAGCAGCTTCTACCAGCAAGGCCTGTACTTCTGTGAAGCACCAAAATACATAATAAAAATCTTCTACTCTTTGGTGAGGTTTTAGAAACAAGCGCAAAGCAATGTTTGTTGCACAAACCCTCTTCTTTGAGGCTTTGGTTGCTCTCAGGATACCTGGGGGCTGCCGCATTCCCTTTCTGAAGAGGGGAAGAACATTGCCCTTTCCTTTCCCTTCCACATGGTAAAAAGCCACAGGCAACCGCAAGGCTGTCACTCTGCACCGCTGCCATCAGATTTCCCTGAGAGCTTTTCCTGTAGGAAAACCACCAGGAAAAGCCACCAGTGCCAGACGTATGGAAAAAAAGGGCTCTGAAATCACTCTCTGCAGAGCACCTCTGCGCTCCTGCATTAGGCTGTCAACTGTGTCTGCCAGGGGACAGTGGAGTCTGAGGGGGAAGCGTTACATTCCTCAAATAAATGATTCATTGAAAGTCACCATCTGGCTCTGGGAACAATTCACTATCAATGTTTCGCCTCAAACTTAGTCATGAAACCAACAGGAGTTTAAAAAGACTCAACAACGAACCCCTTCAGCAATTAAACCCCGCCAATACACAGCATTGAACACTGGAAAGACACTTTATTTCTAGAAATGATGTGAGCTATGGAAAATATAAACTGTGTCTTCCCTGCAGACACAGCCAAAACTAATCAAAATACTGCTAGCAACACAAAGGAAATACCTCTAGCTGTGATAAGGAATATGAATGTAGTTCTTTTACGTCTCTGCTAGCTCATAACAATATGATGGACTGGTGGCACTGTTCTCGGCACTGAGAAGGAGAAAGTGAACTTTCAGTTTTCTTTCCGATGGCTAATTAAAAAGGCCATATCTGGGAGGAAACATTGTGGAAATGAGAGCTATTTGGATGTCCCTTCCCCCGTATACTATCACTCTGCTTTGTCAAGAATGCTTTATTAATGCTAATCTCATCCCTGTGCTTTGACAGAAGTTACAGTTTCCTTCCTTTGCAACGGCTAAGTCTGAATTCTATTATGGGTTTTGTTTTATGGGAGCATTATTATTTTACTAAATTACCTCATCTTCTGGGAACAAACCTAACCTTGAACTACAGAGCTAAATGGCTTTTTAATGATGCAAGTCTGTTTGGAAATTGTACTTTGATGACTCTAAATTTTCTTCCTTCTCCATGTTTAGTTATGTGCAACAAACACTAAAAGTGACTCATTTCTGCAGTCTTTCAGGATTCCCTGTTTTAATACAGAGTTGCTGCATTTATTAGGGTTAAGATGATTAGGAACAAACATTCTTTGCCCAGGGAGGTGGTAGAGTTACCATCCCTGGAGGTGTTCAAGAACTGTGTGAATGTGGCACTGAGGGACATGGTTAGTGGGTATGGAACCCATTTTCAGGAACATGGGAAATCACACCAACATCAGTATTTAAATGCTTAAATTCTAGAATGACTTAAATGATACTCCTAAGTGTGCTCTGTGATGGTGCCTTCTTGTGCTGCCATGACAGTCAATAAGGGAGAATCTGTGGGAAGCAGTGTTAAACTGCCCTGACCCAAATGAGGATGATTGGATCCATGGTTGGCAGCCAGATCAAATTAATGTGTTTTTATAGGATGCCCTATAGCATGGTGGATCTCTCTGATCCTGGAAAAATTAGGTTTTGCCCACAGGGCACAGAGGCACTGTGCAAGGCTACTTGCTGAGATCTGATGTACACTAGAGTAGTCACGGTCTTGTTTCCTGTTTGATTCCCTCCCAAATGCCTGCAAGTCACTGCAAACCCACAAAAAAGATTCCTTGACTCGAGAAAAATGTATGTCTCTGTTTAGGGTGTGTGCAGTTGGGGTACTTCTGAGGCTGCATTGCCAAGAGGTCACCTTTGGGCTAAGCTGAGGGCAGCCTTTTTTGTTTGTGTCTGACTTGAGTGGGAAGAAATTTATCAAAACCAAAAGAAAGATGCTGCTTGTTAATGGGGTAGCTGCACTGCAATGACCTATCTGTTAGGGAGCACTATCAAAGCTAGCAAGCTTCATTTCACATCTGATGCAGAAAATATCTTTATCTTCCTGCAGCAGCAAGGGTGCTGACTTGCTCTCCTTTCCCATCAATTCACCAGACCCAGAAGAACAGGTACAGCCCA